GGGACACACTTGTTGTACATACAGGCAAAACATTCACACAAAAGATTAAAATAAACTTAAAAAAATATGATCAAGACCAAATCTGTTTGCTTAGGTAAATTCTGAAGTTGATTGCCACTGATATTCTAAGACAAGGCTTGCTACTGCTTCAGAACTGGATTATCCTTTCCGGCTGTCTGTGTTTGATATTTAGATTGATTTAGGAAATCTTACTGTAGCCTTGAAGTATTTACTTACATACTTATCAGCCATCACAAAATCAAAATTAATTCTAATTTAACAATAAATTTTTAAAACGAAGATGCAATTTTATTCTTAAAAAAGACCTTTTTCTCCAGGGAAGAGAAATCTCCCTGAGAACTCCCTTCTTTTTCCTTTCCAGGTAAAAATGAATCACCCGTGATGTCTGCTGTTAGAAGTTCTAATCCAGATGCTGGCCTCTGAACTTATACTACTCAGACCTTCGATGGGCCACTGACAAGGACATCAGACAGCTAGAGATTGACATCACTAATATGAAGAAGTCCCTCCTTTCGCTGTCTGAAGAGACCTCCAAAAATTGCAAAGGACTTTATTGAACTTGATTTACTCTTTTACAATAGAAAAGACTGTGTACAGTTCTTGCTGTCTTCAGACACATCAGGAGAGGGCATCAGATCCCATTACAGATGGTTGTGAGCCACCATGTGGTTGCTGGGAATTGAACTCAGGAGCAGTCAGTGCTCTTAACCACTGAGCCAGCTCTCCAGCCTGACTCCTTTGGTCTCAATGAGCATGATATGTTTCCACAACGCAACCATTCCCAGACATCTCCGGCAGTGCATTTGAGGCATCTGGGGGAAGCTGGATGCAGGAAAAAGCTGTCTGATAGAGGACAGGCAGGAAGGAAAGGGGGCAGAGATGAGAGCCAGGACAGCAGTGAATAAACAATGGGTTAGTGTAAATTCCTGTTCCCCAAAGCACTTTTTGTCCCTTTGGTGACTTCTTTCCACCCAAGCAATTTCCTTTTTCTGCTCAAAACTCTGAAAGTGCCCTCAAGTTCACTTTGAAGCCTTCCTCTAAAACTCATATAACCAGTCATTTCACACAGCTTGGGAAAAAGAGCCACTCATTTTTAATGAAAATAGAAAAAAAAGTCAGACGAATTGCCATTTTATAGAAATGTGACCCTAGTCCTACAAAGCATACATGGATTCACAGACCGTAGCACACGGTGTTATCTAAGCGCCATGTTAGCAGACCCTCCTTTCACTTTAAGCTCGTTATACTGACTTAGAAGTCATCACCTCAATAGTTGCTCTGTGTGCTCAGAAAAGCTATATTCCCTGCCACTGGGGCTTTATTGTATAATAAAAATATCAGAACATCAACACCGTGAGTTTTGTTTGCGGCTTAGAGGTTAGCTTAAGCATTAGTCTTGCTGGTTCTAGGATAATTTTAACTCTTACTGAAGTCCTGGTGTGGGAGTGAAGAAGATGAAAGGGAAATTAATTATGGCGTTTACCAGGGCCTTGTGAGTGTGTGTGTGTGTACGCATGTGCATGTGTATGTGTGTGTTTAAATTTCAGTTAGTCTTGTGAATTATATTATAAAAAGTTATAGCCGAGCAATGGTGGCGCACACCTTTAATCCCAGCACTTGGGAAGCAGAGGCAGGTGGATTTCTGAGTTCGAGGCCAGCCTGGTCTACAGAGTGAGTTCCAGGATAGCCCGGGCTATACAGAGAAACCCTGTCCCCAAAAAACAAACAGACAAAAAAAGTTATGATTATTCAATATATTCCATAGAGTAGGTACTATGCTAGAAGTTTAAATTTATTCTCCTTTATAACCTCAGTTATTTTGTAAGACAAATGTTATGCTTTAAAAACACTAGAGAACTGGACCAGTGAGAATACTCAGCCAGTAGAGGCACTGGTTGCCAAGTATGACATATGTCCTAGTTCCATCCCCAGAGACTCACATGCTGAACAGAGAGAACTTACTCCATAAGTTATCCTCTGATCTCCACACGTGAGCAGCACCGTGCGCGTGCACAAGCGCGCACGCACACACACACACACACACACACATGCACGCACACACACTCGTGCACACAAGTTTTAGAATCTAACTCATATAGTAGGAAAATATGGGATTCAGAGGCTTTAGTTAAAGCAGGAGAACCTTAAAACTTTTAAAGATGTAGTGATTTTTGTTAAGCTACCAACAAAATACTACCACATGCAGATCCTTTAAAATAAGTTTAATAATGCCATTTTACTATAACTCTTAATATTTTGACTTATTGAATGTTATTTCCATGATAGGAACCATCAATGCTATTTTGATTGTGAAGATGTACTCAAAAGCAAAGAAATTATTGAATATGAATGACAATAATTCTCTAGTATATATCCATAATAGTCCAGGATGTCTATACTTTTGGGAAGTATGTGAGTGTAGCATGTGTATGTGTGTGCGCATGTGTGAAATCCATGAGTGTTCCTCGATTGCCCCTCAGCTTTATTTTATTTTGTTTGTTTGTTTTTAAATAGAGCCAGGAATCTCTCGCTGAACCTAGAGTTCACCTGTTTGGCCAGACTGGCTAATCACTTATCTCCATGGACTCACCTGTCTCTACATCCTATGGTCGCCCAGTACTGAATCACAGGTCGTTACCCGCACCTGGCTTTTATGTGCCTGCTGTGGGTCCACACTCAGTTTCTCATGCTTAGATGGCAAGCACCTTACTGACTGAATCATCTACCCTGCCTTACTATCTATACATTTAATTATGTTTTATAGTCTTTTGAATCAATTTAAAGTAGTTGTCTTGTCTGACATGTCTTCTGTTACAGGAAAAAACCAGATTTTTAACATCCAAGATTATAAAATGACTTAAATCCCTCAGATGAAAAAGTTCCATTCTAGCCGGGCGGTGGTGGCGCACGCCTTTAATCCCAGCACTTGGGAGACAGATGCAGGTGGATCTCTTGAGTTGGAGGCCTGGTCTACAGAGTGAGTTCCAGGACAGTCAGGGCTACACAGAGAAACTCTGACTCAAAAATCCAAGAAACAAAAACTGAGAAAAAAATAGAAAAAAGAAAAGAAAGGAAAAAATTCTATTCATATTTCCTTGGTTCTGATAGATATAAGAGACTAGTCAACCTGTTTTTTAATTGATTAATTAAAATTAAATCGGATGGATAGAGAAATAGATAAGTAAAAAAGAATTTTTTTTTGAGACAGCCTTGGCTGTCCTAGAACTCAGTCTGGAGAACAGGCTGTCCTCAAATTCAGAAATCTGCTTCCTTCTGCTTGCCTCTGCCTCTGGGGTGTGCCACCATGTATGGCTCAACTTTTTTTTTTTTTTTAAGGTCACTGAGCTAACAGGCAGGTAATCTGGGTGCTAGTTTTGGCAGTCATCAGTCATTCAAGGTCTCATTGAGGACAGTCTCAATTTCTTGAGCTGTGAATGAGAGAAATCAGGCTGGATCTCAAAGGACATTTAGAGCCAAACTAATTTATGACACAAGGAATTTGGCCAGGACTGGATCAACTTTTTATGATAATAAAGAATGAATTCACAAAGCAGAAACATTCAGTAACTGAGCGAAGAGGGCTTTGCCTTGGCTATTTGCAGCCAGAGCAGATACAATGTGTTTCCTGTCCTTTTCACAAGTTGCCATGGGAAGACCCGGAGCAGAGAGGACGGGGACAGGATGCCCTTCCCTTGCAAGTCACTCATCAGTTTATATCTTTACTTATTTTTTTCTCATGTCCATCGGATCAAAACAAAATTACAATTTTTTTGTTATAGTGACAACTAAATTATTAATTTTGTTTCCATTTCTTAAATGTTCTTCAGGCACACTCCTTTCTCCTGTCGGTGTCGTGTATATTTATAGTGATAATAGTTATCAGGGAACTCAGAGAGGGAGAACACCGGCAAGTCACCTAGAACGAAAGGATTTTGGTGTGTCTTTGGTGTAAAGATCAATTGCCCAAGAAATTGGGAAAGCAACAAATGGGAAGGGAAGATTCCTGAGTATTCAGGAGTGCAGTGGAGCAAAAAGGGACTTTGTTCCTTCAGTGTGTTGCCCTTAGGGCTCCGTGACTCTACATGTATGTCAGTCTCCTTTTGATGACAAGAACTATGACATCCATCTTTATATTCTTGGCATGGAATATTACCGACAATAAAATACTTGTTCAAGCGAATTGAATGAAAACTGCCGCAAAGATGTGAAAAAATGAGATTGAACAGGCAGCACTTGTTACTAGAGATCTAAAACTTTTTTGCAGATTTACCGGCAGGATTATTACAAAGAAAGGGACTTTAATGCCAATATTTCAGACTAAATTTTAAACTAGAAATTAGAAGAAGCCCTCATGGCAAATGTCGAACTTTAGTAGAAAGACAGAGAGAGGACCAGAGTGCCTCCTCCTAAGGGAAAACTGGTCTGTTAACAAACTCTGAGCCCCTCTGGGGATGAAAGATAGGCTCGATGACAACTCGTGGTTCAGGGGTGTTGAGGCTTTGATGAACCCCCAAATGGGCGACGAGGGGGCAGACGACCAAATGGCTTGTCCAGAGCCTATTTCTTAACAAAACGACCAGGAAGCCCTAAACTAAGTGCAGCTGGGGCTGGTACTTGGCGTGATAACTTCCGCGTGTGAGTATGCAACAGGGAGCGCCGCCCGCGAACTTCCGCATGAAGGGAGGCTGCTGCGGTGCGACCCTAGGGGCACCGCTTGGCCGCACTGCCGAAGAGGAAACCCGCGCAACCCGGAGGGGAGGGCGTGGCGAGGAAAGGGCGTGGCTTCAGTCCCGCCTCGGAGAGGAGCAGGCCTACAGGCAAGTGGGGTTCGTCACGCCCCAGGACTACATTTCCCGGCAAGCCCCGCGGGCCGCAGTTGACCCACTTCCCGGCCCGTCACGGGCACGCCCGGCCCCCGCGCCCGGGCGGCTGCTCCCTGCTGACTGGGGTGTGGGCGGGGAGCGGCGGAGGGAGGAGGCAGAGCTGGCCGCCGCAGTTTGCCGCCGCTGCTGGGCGCCTAGGCAGAGCTCCCCGGGCTTCGTGCGACCGCCATGGACGAGCAGGCGGGGCCCGGCGTCTTCTTCAGCAACAACCACCCGGGAGCTGGCGGTGCTAAGGGGCTCGGGCCTCTGGCGGAGGCTGCAGCGGCCGGAGACGGGGCGGCTGCGGCGGGGGCGGCCCGAGCTCAGTACAGCCTCCCGGGGATCTTGCACTTCCTGCAGCACGAATGGGCCCGCTTCGAGGTGGAGAGAGCCCAGTGGGAGGTGGAGCGGGCGGAGCTGCAGGTAACGACCCTCCCGGCCTGGCGGTCTTCATCCCGCCTCTTCTCTCTCCTCTGCCCCGCCCCGGACCCTTCGCCCCCTCCCCCAGCCCGCTCGCGTCCCCTCCCCCTTGCCTCGCGCCCATCACTTCCAGACTCTCATCCCCCTTCCTCCAGTCACCTTTGACTTTTGCTGGTCCCACTTCCTTGAGCCTGTTTTCCCACTCCTTCTGATCCATTTACCCTCCCGGCGCCTTTTAGTCGGCTGTTTCCCACTCTCAACTCCTGTGCTTATTCCTACTGTTTGCCATGCCACATCTTGGGTTGTCCGTCCCTTTCGGTTTACTGATTGGGTTGACAGTAGTTTTGAGAGACTCCGAGCAGATCATCTTGGCTCAACCTGACGCACCCGATGTCTAGAGACATTCCCCGCAAAAGGTTTTGGCAGTTGACTACTGTTCACTCTGCAAGGAAGGTGACCAGAGAAAGCAACATAAGTTGTATCAGTGAGGCCTCGGCTTTCCGCGAGAAACTGACATAGCGCTAGAGTGTTGCTAGAAGTATCAGCTCCAGTTTTATGTCTGAAAATGTTTCCCTTTCTGCTCTTTCACCCCATCCCGCATTTGGTTTAGAGTCATGGGTTTCAATGAGGGACCTGACTGATGGAAGTCAGAAAATGGGCAGAGGTGGTACGCCTTTTCGCAGAATCTAAAAGTTCCCAAGAGTTGATTTTTATGTTCAGTGCTTTGCAAGCGTGACCTATACAAGGGGCTTCAGTGCTATGTATGGTGCCCCCTTGCATAACCTGCAGGAAAGCATGCTTATCTGAGAAGAGCTGTTGTAGGCCAGAGAAGAATGAAAGGTTGATACTTCACTGGCCATTCTGAGTTGGCAAGTAGGTTTTCTATGACTGTTTATAAAACTTCCGACACACACTAATTTCCAGAGGAACTCAAAGAGCTGTGAATTGTTGTGCCTCTCTGTTTTATGGGCTAAGCCTATATGCTTATGAAATTTGAGTACAGTTTTAGTTTGTTTGTGAAGCACTTGAAGTGTGTTCCTTTTTTGGTCCTTTTTTTTTTTTTTTTGGCACAAAAATTAAAGAGAAAGAAACATGCTGAAGAGACTCCTTTGCAGAAGCAGACTGCTTCGGTGAGACTTATGTGACCACAGAAGGAGCCAACAGAAAAAGAGTAAATAGGTCTATGATAAAGGCTCTGCCTGCGTCCAGCTCTGTGACCTTGAGGAAGTTCTGTGACCTCTCTGGGCTTCAGTTTCATCCTTTACTTATTCAGCACATGCTCGGGGCTCATTGAATGCTTGCCTTGTGTATCCAGACTCTGATTAACTAAACTGAAAAGGCTGCTGCCCCTCTCATGGAACTTCTATTTTAGCCAGAAGGCGACCGGTCAGAGGATATAGCTGTGTCAAATAGCCTATAGTTACCTCTTCAAGGAAAAATAAGAATACAGGAGTATAGTCAACTTTTGGGAGGTGGGTATGGACAGTTGAATGAAGTAAGGAGTGGCCTGTATGGTCTCTTCTGTTCTACAGTTACATGGTTTGTATTCTTTGCTGACTTTTTCATACCTACTGTTAGGTATAAGTCTATTTGATACTTGTAAGTCTTCTTGTGATGACTGATCTTGTACCCAACCAAATGACTGAGAGAGTACACAGAAAGTCTGATGCTTAGATATTTACCTTCTACTGGCAATGCATTCTGCAAATGAGCTTAAGGAGTTCAGGTCCAAGGGTCCTGAATGAGGTCTAACTCTTATGAATGGTTGCTAGAAATGATTTTTGTTTGCTTCTGCTTAAATTTTAGCATATTTTGTAGTTTAGGGACTGTAAAACAAATGACACTAATCTGGTAAAAACAAGCAATAGAACAGTGTTTGCCTTCCTTGTGTAGGTGTATGAGGATTTACAGAATAGCCTATGTTTGTTCATTCTATTCTCTAAGGCTTAAATTTTACAATTTATCTGTAAATTTAATTAGTCTTTAATTTTTGCGCACTCATCCAAATTAACTTCAGGTAAGTTTCCTATTGTTGCTTATATTAAGAACACTACTTAATTTTTTTTATAGCATCTTTTAATATATGTTCTAGAGAAAGTTAAAAAAGTCATAGAATATTTTTTAAATATAACAAATATTATTATTGCAGGGTTTGCAATAATGTATGATATTTGTATCATTAATAGAGTTAAAAATTTTTTAAATCGTGTGCTTTTAGATCAACATTAAGTTTGATTCTCCCTTTCTGTGCCATTGGACTTTTCAAAAACAAAAAAAACAAAAAACAAAAACCCCACCAAAACAGTATGAAGTAAAAGAGTTGAGTTGTGATGACACATGCTTGTATCCTTTTAGTTTTTACATCTCTTCCGAAACCATCAACACCAAAGTCAACATAAGTGCCTTTAAGGTTCAGTCTCATTTGTCCCTGCAGGAACCTGTCAATCCTGCTCTTTCAAGCTGTCAGGGCTGAGTTGTGAAAGGCAACCCCGGTTCTCACCTGTCTGGGCAGCCCTTCTCACTTCCTCCCTCCTTTAGATGCTGGGAATGAGAAAGGAGTCATAGAGCCTCAAAATTATTTTTATTTCTTTTTTGTTTTGTTTTTTCGAGACAGGGTTTCTCTGTGTAGCCCTGGCTGTCCTGGAACTCACTCTGTAGACCAGGCTAGCCTCGAACTCTCCAACTCAGAAATTCACCTGCCTCTGCCTCCCAAGTGCTGGGATTAAAGTCGTGCGCCATCATTGCCTGTAGAGAGGGTTTTTTTTCCCCATGTATGAGACATGGTGCCAGAGACCCCAAAGAAGCCTGCATCCTAATCATTGTGGTGGCAGGGAGGAGACTCAGACTCATTTGAGAGGGAGATTGACTGTCTTAGAACAACCTGTGAAGATTCAGCAGCAAATGTGAAGAGTTATGAAGTAACAAGAACCTGAGGCAGTCATTTGAAAGTTACTTACAGGAAGGCACACATGTAAATAAAATAAGGTAACCCTAGATTTTGATGATGTGTATGGAAGTGGGGGAGGCTTTGGTTCTGTCTAGAATTGTTTAGATCATCTAGTAGAGGACATGTGCTGTAGAGGCTCTGGGCTGGAGGGTTTATGAATTCAGATTTGGCACTAATGATTTGTATCTCATTTAGCAAATATTTTTCAAGTATATACTTCATGCCACGTCCTGTTTTAGGCATGGAGAAGATATAAGATCTTATCTCATGAAATTTAAATGATAGGGTCAGATAAACAGTGATGAATACCTGCTACATTGCAAAGTATTACCTGCTCTGGTCAAGTAAAGGGATAGGAAGTAAGTCATCACAGACCAAGAGTTACTGAGTGGAAACCTTCTAAGGCCATACCTGAGGTCCAGAAAGAGTTAAAACAGCCAGAAGGAGGGAGGATGCTTAGAACATCACAATGGGACAGAAATGGGGCAAGTGTGGCTGGAGAGGAGGAGGAGTGGAGGAAATGATGCCAGAGGAAGTTACTGATCCTGCTCCTGGGAAGACTTTGAATTTTGGGTGTGTGTGGTGGCACAGGCTGACAGGAATACAAGTGCAAGGCTGTTTGGGTTATAGAGGGATTTCAAGGATGACATGGACTATTAGTGGGTCTAGCTTCAAATACAAAGTGAAAAGAGGACTGAGACCACAGCTCAGTGGTAGAGGGTTTGTCCAGAGTATGCAGGGCTCTAGGTTCAACCTCCAGTACCAAGAAAACAGACCACCACTGGGCTTCAGCTCAGCGGATTGGGCAACCATTGGAATGTATTGACAAAAGGAGCATCTTTAAAATGAACCCTTGGCAGGAATTAAGAATATGCCCCAGGAGGTAGGTGGGTAGAAGCAGGGAGAATGTTTAGGAGTCTGTTTTGATTAATTGAGGCCTGAGTTGAGAATGAGGGGTAGTGGTGAGGTTCTTTGCATACACATTTTGTTGATGTATTATTAAAACAAAGTAGGTTCTGAACACAGGAATACAACTGACTAGCCAGTGTGCCGGGAGTAGGAGGTGAGGTGTGAAGAAAAGGGGACTGAAAACAATTCAACACATTGCTCCTGAACACTTCTGAAGGATAGCTGAGATCTATTGAGCATGTCAATGAAAAATGCAAGAACTTTAAAAATGGTTGCTTTCTGTTAATTACGGTAATTATTTCCCATATCACAAAATGCAACAATGACATAGACCTGTTACTAAATCTATACTCTAAACTTACTATTATATAAAACATATTTGCCAAAAATATGACCTCTCAGAGCCTTAAATTACCTCGTGAGAATTAAGTGAGATTATTTTCTTTCTTTTATTTTATTTTATTTTACTTTCTCAAATCGTAATTCATTCACACAGGGGTTATAAACACAGAAAGGCAGGATGTGGGGAAGGGGATGACACTGGAGTGTGGATGTTCAGGGGGAATACAGATATTTTTCAGAACCGGGTATCGGTTGGGTGAAGGTTCAGGGGACAGGTCACTATGACTCTGCCTATGACAAGTGAGATTATTTTCAAGTCTCCAGTAGATGCCTGGTGTGTAGATCGAGTGCTGAATGAATGGTAGAAAATACACAATTTCATTTTTTCTCATGTTTACTGCCTCCGAGAAAATGCTAATCTTCAGTCATAAACTCACCTTAGACCAGACCATGATGGTGCCTTCCTGAGACCATGTAGTTTAACATTCAGGGTCTGCTGCTGGCCCTAAAGCCGTTTAACAGGAATGAATGGTAGCAGCTAAACTTCCACGAACACAGTCACTCACCTTCGCATTACATCTTGGATAACAGATTGTGCACATTTGTAACCATTTTACAAAACAAACTGATTTATCTTTTTCTTTAAACTACTTTTAAATTTGGAACGAATGAACCTTCATTATATTGTTTTATGAATAGGTTTTTGAATTCTATTCATATCCCTGATAATTTCATAATCTTTTATTATATTTTTGGAAAGATTATAAGGTTTTTTTTACTCTTTTAAAACATATCCTTTTGCCAT